CTGCCTCCCTGGAAGGGCTTTCTTCCGTCAGTGCTCACTGGCCATCGTGACCCTGTTCGTCGCTTCTGCTCCCTTTGTCCTTGTGGACTGGTGGCCAATGACCCACGAGGGGAGGGAGAGACCCCACAGGAGTGCATGGAAAAAAAATCACTAAGAGGGGTTCACTGGTGGGATGCCAGGGATTGGGGAGTCTCTGTAAAATGGCTTAAGATTTGTTGATCACTGGGCTAAGGACAAGGCCTCTTCAAGGAGGGAACACAAAGAGAATGGGCAGGAACAGGAGGGGGTTGGGAGTTCCTCAGACAGTTGTCAGGGGGAGAGCTGGTCCTGCACTGGGCATTTGGGGGGTTTAAGAAATTTAAGATGGGTGAGACTGCCAGAAGAGCTGAGTGTTTATCTTAGAAATGTTATTTCAGAAGGGAAAGGATGTGGGTACCACATGGTTTAATTATCATGCCACCTCTGTGAATGGGACATTGGAAAAGGGGTCTGGGAGGATGGGTTTTGCATCTTCACTTTCCCTCAAGAGTTCTTCTGGAAGTGGACCCCAGCTCTTACTACCGAGGCCACAGGGGGCCAGACACCTGCTTCCACAGGACTTCACAGCTCTGGTATGGGTCTGTGATCCAAGTGTAGACAGTAATTCAGAGACAGCTCTGTTCCTTGGCACCACAGGCAGTTGGCTGGTGACACATTCAGCACCCTGGCTGTGGCACTGGCATCCTGGGTCCACCACAAAAATGTGCCTACCTGAGCATTTATGGGATTGGCTCCAGGCAGGTAACCCTAGGGTTCTGTCTCCCAGCCTTCTTAGCCATTTGCCCTGTTCTACCTAAAGTAGTTATATTTGGATTCCATTGCTTACAACCAAGATCCCTAGTGTGGACTTTCAATAAGGGAAAAAAGACACAAGCATGCAGGAAAGCAGGTGGGACCAGCTCCTGTCCTACCTCTGTGACCTGGCCTGCAAGGAAGAGCTCAGATCACACTCAGGGGCATATGGACACCCCAGGCAGAGTCTGCCTTCCAGTGGACTTCATTTAGTACCCATTTCTAAGCTTCAATCAGTAACTCATTTGATCCTCTTCAAGCGTTAATGGCTCCTTGGCACCTGACTCCCGAACTCTTTCACCGGCCCCCTCAGGAATGCTTACTTCACATGGAAGTTCTGCACCCTGGCAAGCAAGACCTACCAAGATTGAGTTCCCTATGTCTAGAGCCTTAGTCCTATCCTCAGTGCCTATCCCAGTCTCGATCATTCACATCTGAGATGACAACACTACACCACAACTATGTGGAAACGCAGGCAGGGCCTCCAAATAGCAGCATTCAGGTTTTATGAGAAATAGCCCATTATTTTGAAATCTGAATTTTTAAAATCGTTTAACTACTAAGATAAATAAGAAGGCCCATCTGTGGCCTGACTGTGGCCAATGAACATAGTCTGTGACCTCTATCTGCTGCTTGTATTAAATAGAATAGTTATTCAGTTTCCTAAGGACTGGATCCAGGACATCCCTAGCAAAACACAATCCATGTCTCCTCATGAAAATGACGCCATATTAAGCATATACTTTCAGTCATCTCCAGATGGCTATACTGTTTGGATCAGGGAAATCATAAGCTATGACTCCACAGATGGAACCAGCCTGTGCCTCCATGTGGCCACACTAACTAATACACGATGGTAACCTTCTTAGACATGAGTGAGACTGGGCAAGCAAGCCATTCTGTACAGGACTGAGGCTTCAGACAAAGAGAGCTCAATCAATCCTGACAGGTCTTGCACAATGCGCCCGATCTTGTAGGATAGGTCTTGCTGCCAGGGCACAGAATTTACATTTCCTTGATGAAAGCCGTGTGAAGCATGTTATAACAAGGCCAATACAACAAATTCAAGGTTTTTTTGTTTGTTTTTTGACAGGAGTTCTCATAGCCCCAGCTTACCTAGAACTCACAATGTAGACCAGGCTGGCCTCAATCTCACAGAGCTCCACGTGCCTCTGCCTCCAATGCCCAGCATCCAAATTTGGGTTTCTGGAAATTCTATATCAATTTTAAAAAGCAAGGCTGATTGAATCTATAGATGTGGGACTCACAGATATCAGGAACTGATTTTTTTTTTCTAAATTGGATTGGTTCTATCATAGGTAGATACTCAAGTAAATACTTCAATGAATAATTGAAAGATACATATCAATAGGGTGGGAGGAAGCAAAGCAAGGAAAGAGGGGATAAAATTCTGGTTTTCAAAGCCTGGTGCAGCTTAGCTAGGAGATCAAATGCTTTCCCTCCCTGAGTTGGGTGGGCTTGCATGCAGGAAGCAGCTGTGGTGCTGGGCCAGCATGAGAGAAGAGCAGGGTCCACAGAGGGGCTGGGGCAGAGCATCAGGAAAGACCAGGGAGCAGAGCACCAGTCTGGACAAAGAGGCTCTTTATTGAAAATAATGTAAAATGAGGATTTTACATGCATTTAAAAATCCTTCAAGAATTATGATTTCCAGGTGTGGTGGTACCCACCTTTAATCCCAGCACTTGGCAGTCAGACCAGGCGGATCTCTGTGAGATAGAGGCCAGCCTGGTCTACACAGTGAGTTCCAGGCCAGCTGGGGCTGTCTCAAAATGATCGAGATATGTATGTCTATATAATTTAAAGAATTATGAAGAAAGGACACAGTTGTGTCAGGCAGCTGGAAACAGCGAATTGCTCCCATCCATTTCTGTAGTCAGATTCTGGTTCTCTTCCATATAGAATTACAAAACCAGATCAAGAAAGGCTGGTTTCCAGCAGACTAAGAAGTACTTGGAGAAACTTCTCAACTAGCCAGTTTCATGATTTAAACATGAAACTCCACAAATCTGACTCATCTACTTTGCTGATATTATTACTGCTGGTAATCTCTGGGTACACAAGAAAAAACGAAGCCAACCAACCTAAGTGATTTTCCAGCAGAAAGATGGTTTGTAGAGGCGACTGGAGTGCAGTGCTCAAGAGGAAAAACCTGGGTGTCCAGTCTAAACAGAAACAAGGCAAGAACAGACAGCAATACCTGGTAGGAAGCAAAGATAAGTCAGGAAAGAAATGCAGGAAAATGCAGCTTGGGACTGTTCTCTGAAAGAATAAGCACAGAATTGGCTCTGATCGTCTTTATTCTTTGCAGTCTTCCTTCTTTCTCTTTGCTGGGGGCTGGCTTCACCCATCAGTCACTGAAGGGTACCTTGTCCTGCAGGTGTCTTGTGGGCTGACAGTTTCTAGGGAGGTCTCTCCTGACTACAAACTCCCTACGACACTCTCTCCTTTTTTCCTGTCTTATTTTCTTCACCATAGTTATCAGCATCCAAAAGTTTTATTTACTTTCTAACTGACCTTGAAGAACAGGGCAGGTCAGAGTTCAT